TGGGTGAGCATCCTGCCAGAGTGGCTGCCCTAGCCCTACATTTTATTTCTGTCTCCTGCACACTGTCAATGTCATACATACATGCCCTCAGTGTTCTTGTTTTCACTTCCCTTTCTCTCTAGCCTAGGACAGCAATTTGCTTACGCCCTTGCCCTTACCATGCAAAACCTCTACCACCAGCTATTTTTTCCTTTCCCATTGCCAGGCTGTGGGAACTACTCATGTACTTCCCTCTGTCTGTGCTGGGCAGTCAAGTACTCAAGTACTACTGTTTTCTCTTCTCCGTCTGCTTTTTCCCTAGGTCTTGGTCTTAATCATACCTTCTGGAAGGACTTTGCTGACCTTTGTAACCCAGCTGGATCACTCCTCTCTACTGTGGAATTTTACAACACCCCAAAATTTCTAATTAAGTTCCTTTGTTGTGTATGCTATTTCCATAGACTTCTTGGGGCTGATGATTATGTCTTCTTCTCTTCCTCTGCAACATGGCCTATCAGCCAATAGACCTCTACACATGCAGAATTAGTGCTGTATATGCACGTGTGTGTGTGTGTGTGTGTGTGTTTTGTGGAGCTGCCCCCCCAATCTGGAGACAATAATCTACATGCTTCATTATCTGCTTTGGACACTGTATTATAACAGGAACACACATTGGCTTGGGAAACTGCTAGGGAGACTGAACAGACTGGAAAATTAATGTGTGAAGCAGAGGCTGGCTTGTGGATGCTGACACATGGCCCTGCCACCATGCCATCATCAGCAGCCTTTACTCATAGCATGGAGAAATCATGTGCCACATGGCCGCTTTGCAAGTTTCTATTTGTTGCACAGTTTATACCCATCAGTGTGGCAGATCAGAGGAAGTGTTCTGGGTTAAGTTCTAGGGTAGTCTTGCCCCTGCCCCTTAGTTTCTGTAGATTTTGCATTGGAAATTGCTAGTAGTTTTTAGATTAGAGAAATACTTCAGGATGTAGATGAGTGGAAAGCAGTTGTTCATTAAAGGTGAGGTTCTGAGTTCAGTACCGTTATGGTCACAATGTGAAAAGTCCTTCGTAGGCTCCTGTATTTGGACCCATGGTCCTTGGCTGGTGGTACTGTTTTGGAAGGTTGTAGAACCTTTTGGTCATAAGGCCTGGTTGGCAAACTTAAGGCTGTAGGACAGGCTGTGAGCATTATAGGCTTGCTTGGCTTCCAGTCTGGCTCTTGGCTTTCTGGATGGAGCCATGTAACTGGCAGCTGTTCTATGCTCCCAAAGCCATAGATCAGGTCTAGCCCAAGTCTTCCCTGTGTCCACGTCCCCTAAATCATAATGTGAGCCAAAATAAACCTCTCCCCACTTAAATGAATTCTGCCAGGTATTTGGTCATAGGGTCAAGAAAAGTAACTAATACAAACTCCAGCACTTGAAAACAAAAGATCTGCTAAACATATTTATTTTTGCAGTGTTTGACATGAACCCAGAGCTATGTGCATGCTAGCTAAGTACTCTACCAGGAAGCCATATCCCCAGCCCTGTTATATTTTCCTTATGTGCTGTGCAGTGTTCTAGGCACTCAAGACCCAGCAGTCACAGCAGATTCTTATTTTGTAAGCAAGGTGAACTCATCTTTCCTAGCTGTAAGAACCACCCCACCCCCCAGATGCTAATAAAGGGATGCACAGAAGGCCAGTGTGAAAAACACCAGCTCCAGTTCCCTCTGCCTTCTCCTCCTCCCTTTCTTAGGGAGCCATCTCTTTCTTAGACTCCACTCTGGGAAAACAGTAAAAAATCTGGTGTTATTTATGCTCTGCCTGTAGTCCAAGATTTAACTCTCAAGTATCTGTCATATAAGACTTATCCCCCTTGTGGCAGGCACTTCAGGCAATTATAAAGAGGCCTATAAGATATTTAGGGGCAAGCCAGGCAGCGGTGGCACATGCCTTTAATCCCAGCATTCAGGAGGCAGGCAGATCTCTGTGAGTTTCAGTCCAGCCTGGTCTACAGAGCGAGTTCCAGGACAGCCTCCAAAGCAACACAGAGAAACCTTGTCTCGAAAAACCAAAACCAAATCCAAAACAAAACCAAAAACCCCAGTATTTAGGCAAAATTAGGTGCTTTGGCAAAAGAACATGGAGAGAAGCAGGAAGTTTCTGCATAAGCCCGCTGTCTCTTAGGTCTGCCCAAGTCTTTGTCTTTCCTTAGCATGGTGGCTCTCTTGGTTATAGCTCCTTCCTTTGCAAAGGTAAAGGCTCTCAGACTTAAGGCCCAGAGTTTCTACCTCACTAGCCCTTGACTGGACACAGAAGACTCAGGAGCTTCCAACCGTGTGAAGAAAGAGAAGCCACAGCTGAAAACCAACAGGCAAGGAAAGCTCCTTGAATCAGAAACTGGTGTACAGCCCCAGAGCACTGACACTCCATTTGAGCATCAGATATGGGGTGGTGATGACAAATGACACCCTCAAGTCAAACCTGGGGACACATGCCTGTAACTCAGGAGCAGGAAGACTGGAGAGGGGTTCAAAGCCAACTTCAGTTGCATAGCAAATTTGAGGCCAGCCTTGGCTACATGAAATCCTGTGTCAAAAACAAAGCAAAAAAAGGTATGTGTGTAGGTGGCTTAGTTAGTAAAATGAGAACTGGAAACCCTCTGGAACCACATGAAAAGCTAGGTATATAGTGTCTGCAATCCCAGTATAGAGGAGGCAGACAAATCCTGTCTCAGAAAGAAAAGTGGAGGGTGACTGAAGCACACTCCTGCTGTCAGCCTCTGGCCTTCACACACAACAGCACACACACTCACATGCTTACATGCACACTGTACCTGCAAATGCATGTGTACACACATACAACAAAACATACACAAACCCAAATAAAATTCATCAAAAAAGGCTGTGGTGGTACATGCCTTTAATCCCAGCATTCGGGAGGCAGAGGCAGGCGGATCTCTATGAGTTTGAGGCCAGCCTGGTCTGCAGAGCTAATTCCAGGACAGGCTCCAAAGCAATACAGAGAAACCCTGTCTCAAAAACCAAACCCCAACCCTCCCCCCCCAAAAAAAAAAGAAAAAAAAAAAAAAAGCATCATGGGAAACTCTGGGCCTCTGGCTGGCATGGTTGCAAGTATTTGTAGTATCAACTACTTGGGAGGCTGAAAGAGGATGACCATGTAAGCCCAGAAGTTTGGGGCCAATTTGGCTAAGACAATATAGCCAATACCCCCCATAAAACTTCATTATTCTTGCTATTATTAAAGATGTATTGTGTGTATGAATGTTTTACCTGCATGTATGTATGTGTAACACATTTGTGCTTGGAGGTTAGTCATTGGATTCCCTGGATGGTTGTTGAGCTACAATGTGGGTGCTGGGAATGGAACCTAGGTCTCTGTAAGGGCAACTAGTGCTCTAAACCACTGAACCACCTCTTTAGCACCTAAACTCTGATCTTAAAGTTTATACTAAATAATTAAATACAAAGTTAAAAATGGATAGCTTTGTTTGGCTTGGTAGCACATACCTGCTAATTCTTCTTTGGAGGTAGGAGGAAGAGAATCAGGAGTCCAAAACCAGCCTGGTTACATAAGAAATGAGCTCACAATTAACCTGGGAACACAAGGCTCTGTCTCAAAAAACCAAATCATAACAGTTAACTTTTGAGTATATTAAAATAAAAGCAGCAATTAGGCTTACCATTTATGTTTTGTTACCTTCGTATATGCAGACTACCATGTAGTTACCTCTTGCCAGCTCCAGAAGGAAACAAGCCTCCACTGTGCTTGAGAGTCCTTCTAAAGCCCTGGAGGTAGAAGGCAGGGCAAGGACAATTCATTTAGCAGTGCACAAGCTCTTAGGACTTCCCCCCTTGGTCTGTGTTTGCATGAACATATAGTCATGTGTGTTGGCTAGAGGATAAATTTATATCATCCTCAGGAATGCCAACCATATCCTTTGAAAGTCTCTCACTGGCTTGGAGCTCACCAATAGACTGACTGCCAGCAAGCCTAACAGACACTCCTAGTTCTGCCTTCCTAGTACTAGGTCATGAGTATGTGCTGCCATGCACGGAATTCTATGGGTTCTGGAGATGACACTCAGGCCTTGTGCTTGTCACTTGATTGATTGAGCCACCTTCCCAGCCCTAGATATTTTGTTGTACAAGGTTTAGAGTTGAGGTCACTGTGATACAGTAGCATGTTTTAAAATGTCTCAGCTTTAGGGTCTGGAAGACTGGATTTTAGCTGTTTGGCTTACTCTGGACTTCAAGTTCTTCATGGTGTGAGTTGGAGGGGATTATACAGTTTGCATGCAAAGAAAGGGCAGCTAAGGCCTGCTAGTGACTAGCACACAGAAAGTTTACACGAGATGAGTCAGATAGTCCTTTTCTAGACCAAAGCATGGCAGAACTGTGGGTGAGAGATAATGGCCAATAGAAAGGTGCAGAGACAAAATACACCTTCAGAAAGTAGGCAGGGTCCTGTCGGCAGGGCTAGAGATACAGCTGAATGATTCACACACAAAAACATTCATGAATGAAGCCTGTGGTTCAGCCTAGGTCTGTTCAATATCTCATCATCTCTCTGTATTCTCTCTTCCATTCTCCACCTCCTCTAGCTTCTCTCTAAAGGTCTGATGTAGCACAGGATGGCCATGAAATCTTAATCCTCCCACTTCCTCCCAAGTATGTGCTACCAAGCCTGGTTTCTCTTTAATGTCCAGGGTCATATTAAGAAACGCCCTACTTAAACAAGTAAATACCCTGCATTAAGTTGGAGTACCAGAGGGTAAAGGCAGCTAAGAGTCAGTGCTGCAGTTTCACATAAGAGATAAGAAATGACTGCTTCAGACAAGAACAGTGGGCTTCATAATCCATCAGCTTCTATCCACTCCAACTTACAAGACTATCTTCTGCCTGAGCTACACGACCCTGAGAAATTCATCTTCATGGACTCAGACTTTACCAAGTGAAGGAGGTCAACTCTTCCCTGTCAGAGAGTGTGTTAAATATTTTGAACTCCTGAGATTAAGGCCAATTGCTACTAGGATTAAATTTATTTATAATTAAGCAACTCTAAGTAGATCAGAAATAAGTTATTAATTAATGAACAGAAAGGTAAATGCTGGCTAGGGCAAATATGTAACATAATAGTAATCTGCCTAATTGTCAAGTGTGGGGTCCCATGAAGAGGCACAAAAGCTACCTCTTTGTCTTCCAGATTTTTCTCTATCATCATGTAAAAACTTAGTGAAGAGAGGAAGGTAATCCTAACACTTAGTAGGCTGAAGAAGGAGGGCTGCTTTGAATGTGAGGCCAACCTAGTTACAGAGTGAGACAAGGTTCCAAACAAATGGATGAACCAGCAAATAACCCATCCTCACACCTGCTGAAGGACAGTGAGTTTGTGTGAGCAAACAGCATGGAACTAAAGCAAATCTACTGTGTATTTAAGAGAAATGACTTTATAGAGGCTAACAAAAAAGCCATCTGACCTCTTCCTCTGTCTCAAATCCCTCAAAACTTTGAAAGGACAAGTGTGCCATTCTGGAACTCGTTTATGGACTTATTCACTTCAGAATTGCTCTCATGTCCCCAGTAAGCTGGATAAGGACTTCTGGGTCTAAAAGGAATTAAGTTTCTTTATTTTTTCAAGTGCTATAACATTCACAAAACAATTTTGGAGTGCATGGATGGGGTAGGGTAGCACCATTTAGCATATCATAAGAGGTGAGAAAATTAATCTATAATATTAAATTACTAAGAATAGAGTAGGAAAGAACACCTGAGCTAAAGTCACACTCATCTGTGATTGGGTCTGGCTGGTGAGAGCTTCCAGGTGCTCTATGGATGATGGGATATATGCCATAATTGGCTTGGGAGAATCGTATAACCATCTCTAAAATCCCAACCCTACTGGTTCTGAGTGGACTGCCTTAATTTGATCCCCAATACTTTTTTTTTTTTTTTGAGACAGGGTCTCTCTACACAGCCCTGGTTGTCCTGGAAGTCTATATAGATCAGGCTAGCCTTGAACTAATAGAGATCCTCCTGCCTCTACCTCCCAAGCGCTCTGCCCAATACTTTTAAAAACAAGAATGTGGAAAACTTTTTAGCGACACCTCACATGAGTATTTGTGGCCTATTAATAGAAATAGAGGAGCCAACAATGGATGGGAATTCAGACATGCAGCTCATAGTACAGTTGTGAATATCTGGGTGGCTATGCCCTAGGGGTGACCATGCAGGCAGGCGACATCAACCTGAAGAGGGTGTGAACCCCAGCAGCTGCTCGATGGGTTTAAACCGCCACTCATCAGCCTCCAGCTCTTCCACCAAGCCAGCCAGTTTTTCCATCCGAGCAACTTGCTGATCTGTAGAGAGTCAGAAGTGACAGAACACAACAGGGCATTTCCTGTGAGACTGTCACCAGCCACCAATATGACCCCTGGCCTAGAATCTGTAGACGGGCTTTCTTTTCCACTTGAGATTTAATAGTGGGATCTTACTTTATTGTAGGTCTGAAGACAAAGAACATTCCCAACCATTCTCCATTCATCTGCCTTACTTCTCCCCTTTGCTTGCAATGGTGGAGACTGAACCCAGGGTCAAGTGCTCTACCACAGAGCTGCATGAGCTTCCATGTGTATACATATAATACATATATGTGCATGTGTGCCATGCACATGGTGGTCAGAGGTTGGCTTTGGGTATCTTCCTGAATCTAATCATTTTCATTATTTTTTATTATTTGTGTCTCTGTGTGTCTAAGGAAGCCAGGAAAGGGTGTCAAATCTCCTGGAATAGTTATAGATGGTTGCCAGCCACCATGTGGGTCCTGGGAATGAAACCCAGGTCCTCTGGAAGAGCAGCTAGTGCTCTTAATTGCTGCACCATCTCTCTTGCCCATTATCTGAGGGTTTTTCTTTTTCCTCCAGCTGTGTTAATTCATCAAAGTCTATCATCCCTTTATCTCCCTTCAGGCTCAGCCCTCTCTGTAACCAAATCTGTTCTTTCTCTAAGTTTGTAAAGACTTTTATTGTTAAAATAATTTTCAATGCAATTATTAGGAAATACAGGTGACTCTCTTGGGCATGTACTCTCCTTTTCCTAAGGGTTGCTCTCTAAACATCTATGCTTAACTCTGTATTGAAATGTTCCCTGCCAGCCTCACCCAAAAGCAAGCCGGGTTTTATTGCTACAGTGAAATAGTTCCCTGTAGCAGGACAGGGACTTGGAAGTAAGTTGCCCTCAATTTCCTTAATAAATTCTCCTTGTCGTTGTCATTCTAAAAAGAAAAGAGAACATAGATATAAGAGAAAGACAGACAGATATAAACACAGAGATACAGAGATGGGGGAGGGGGAGACAGGTAGATAGATAGACAGACACACACACACACACACACACACACACACACACACACACACACACAGAAAGAGGGGGTGGAAGAGAGAAGATTAAAGGTAACAAGAAGCAAGAAGTTCAAGTCTAGCCTTGGGAGGGAGGATTGCTCAGAATTCCAGCCTGGGCTATACAGTGAGTTCTAGAGTAAGAAAATAGTAATAAAAAAATAGTAAGAATAATAAAAGAAAAAAAAAATACATCTGTGTGTTGGTGGTGCATGCCTTTAATCCCAGCACTTGGCAGGCAGAGGCAGGTGGATCTCTGAGTTCAAGGTCAGTCTGGTCTTTAAAATGAGAGCCAGGGGTATACAGAGAACCTTGTCTTGGGGAAAGAACCAACAATATTTACAAACAAACAAACAAAAAAAAACCACAAAAACCCCAGTTATTACAGGCTGGGGATGAGCCTCATGATGGAGCACATGGCTAGCATGTATCATGCTCCTCATTTGAGCCCCAGCTCTGTAAAAAGACAATCACCATCTCACACTCTCAGTATGTGCTAGATTCTAAAACATGGAGCTAGACTTAGTGGCTATGTCTATATATAATCCCAGCACTCAGAGGCTGAAGCAGAAGGACCTAGAGTTTGAAGCCAGCCCTAGCTACATCAAGAGACACCTAGAAACAAAACCACAGTATAAACAGATCCTTGTTCTCCATGCCACAAGGGATTCATTCAGATGCTCCCAGGGGTTTCTCCTGGGAGAAACGGTCTGGAGGGGAAATGGTCCCTGATTCGTATATATCACTAGGGGCGCAGGGCATAGACAGGGCAGAAGATGCTGCACAAACACTAGAAGTGGGTGGGACATGTAGGGAAGCAGTATGAGATCTCATAAAGGGTTGGTAAAGGCAACAGAGGAGTGGGAAGCGTCGGCTCCTGAGAGAACTGAACCACGGACTTCAACTCCAAACCTCCAAGGGGGTTTTTAATCTGAACAGATCTTAGAATGTTCTTCAGTTCAGAAAGTCACTTAAACAGTTTGGGGCTTTTGTCATAGCACAGTGGTCTTTCAGAACTTGTGCTCCCAGCTTTCCATAAATGTACATTTGTAGTCAGGATAGCATCAGCTCACACACTTACCGTGTTTCACCTGTTTAAGCGTGGATGCTACTTGATAGCTAAACACCGACTCACAGAGGAACCTCTCAGAGCCATCTACGAGAGAAAGGACACAGGCGGAAGTTTTAATGGCTTCTGGAAAAGCAAGAGGGCCTGTCTATTCTTCCCCTGCATCTACATTTGAGGTCTAAGGCGTTTGTTCCTGGTGTGAAGGGGTCCTTTAGAACACAGGTCTGTAAAGGCTACCTCTTCTATACCTAGAATATTAAAATAGTCCTACTTGTTTGAGAGTTCAAAAATAGTATTACAAAAACAAAAACAAGAAACCTTAGCCTTTCCTGGTCACCACTGGCCCCCTCCTGACCTCAACAGCAGGCAAACAAGGCAGCTGACACACCCAGCTATGTGGTACTTGTATGACTTATGACAAAACTCCAATCACTTATTCTAAAAAACAGAGCCAAGGGAAAAACAGCTGTTGGCTTTTAATATATCAAATTGTACCACTAGGACTATCACAGAACCCTGCTGGGAAACTCTGTTCTGTAAACACCAATTGTAACCCTGATCTTTCAACTGACCCAAGCACTGTAATCTGAATGACTAAGGGAATGGTTCAGAACCTAGCAGTGGGCTGGTGCCAAGATCTGCCCAACAAGAAGGTGGTTAGCTCAGTTATGATGCTCAGAGGGTGACTAGGAAACCCGACACTAGTCAGTGCAAAGTTGATCCGGCAAAACATATCCCCAAAGACACAAAATTCACATAGGAAAATTCCACATTTTAAAGGGTAGCAATCCCCCCCACCCCCCGCAGGCATTTCATTACCCAAGTTCTCAAACAAATGTAAAGAGAGGATACAGCTGTCTCTTTCAAGGTAGCAGTTCACACTAACACTCCTAGATGCCAGCACCCACACATCAGGCATGGATTGGTGTGTCATTGGCATTAAGTGACAGGGAGCTACCAACACATTCTTGGCTTCATGCTGAGTTTCACACAAACCTTTCTTTACAAGTCCTGATAATCAAAGGGAAAAGTACAGCTACTGATTCTATCTGGATGCTGTGAATACACAACCAGAATGGCTTCCTGCTAATATTATCTTCAAATCAATGGGGTGGGGGGTGGGGGAGAGGGGGGGGGAGAGAGAGAGCACTCTTAGGATGAACAGTCTGTAAGTTTAAGTCTCTTTCCTACCCCTGGCTTTTCACCTTTCTTTCTTGAGGTGTGCTGGGGGTCAAATGCCTCTACAGGTGTATTGGCTGCTGCTCAAGTGCACCCCTTGCCTCTGACTGGTGTAAAGATCTAGACATGCTGATGACAGTCTGAAGTGTATCTAGATAAGAACAGAGAGCAGTGGATAACCCCAGACCCTACCAAGGGAAGAGAGCTGCTGTGGACTTACAGCAATGATGCAGTTTACTACGTTCTTGCAGGTAAACAACATATTGGCATCCTTCTTAAAGGGCTCGACTACAACTCAGTGTTCACTTTGCAAATAGCAAAGTACAGAGAAGCAGAGCTGACCTCCCAGATAGTTTGATCCTGAACTGCAGGAAGTGGGAATTATGGGCTGAAGAATCAAGCTCCTGGAAATGCTGCCTCCCACCTTCATTTAATCACTAGAATAAAGTGCATGAGTTATTACACTGGCCTATCTCCAAAGCAAAAAACAAAACAAACCAAAAAACAAAAACAAACAAACCAAAAACCAAAACAAACAAAGCAAAACTCACCTTCCAAAAAGGTGCCTGGGTATCACTGTCCCATACTTGAGGCCTGAGATTGCATCCTGCTCACGTGTAGCTTTGTATTAAGTCCACTGCTTCTTAAGCCACATCCTATCACATGTAACATCTACCTACCTAAAGGCTGGGATTTCTCAGGAGAGGAGTCAGCTAGAGGTGAGCTGTCTTCTATTTACAATTGTGATAAACATACTGGGCAGCTGTGCATCAGGGTGAAAAAAGTTCAGTAAATGGCCTAAATCTAACACTATCACCAAGTCCATTAAATTCAGTGCTACGGGAATTCATTTAAAAGGTATTACTTCCCAGTAGGAAATTAGACAATCCCAGGTGATTTATAAATCAGTGAGGTCCTAATATACAGCTAAGTCTGGGCTGGAAGGTAGCCTCTCATTTATTTGCTCACTAATAACTGGGTGAGAACAATTTCAGCTAGGGTAGGAGATGGTTAAAGCTTGCTTCCTGCTGTTAACAGTCAGGAGATGCACCATAAAGTTCATTCGGGAGGTTAACTACAGGTGCTTAGATTTACTATCCTAGATTTGGGAGGTTAACTACAGGTATTTGGATTTACTATCCTAGATTTGGGAACAGGCAACATCAAGTTGAACCTGTTGGGATTCTGACACACACCCAACCTTGTCTCCATGTTCCCTTTCTTTTTAGAAAGTCCCAATCTTTGCCCAGCCTGGCATGGAAGTTTCTCTGAAGCACTGGCTATCACTGAACTCACAGGCACTCTCCTGTCTCAGCCTCCTGAGCTGGGATTACCTGAATCCATCAACATGGTTTGTTTTCATTTTCCTCTTCTAATTACATGGGTGCAAGAAGAATGGGGGCTGGGCACGTAGCTCAGTGGTAAGGTGTTTGGCTAGCAGATACTTTACCTAGGTTTTGGTCCCCAAAACATAATAAATCAGACATAGTGATATATGTCTGTAATCTCAGCGCTTGGGAGGTAGGAAGAGAAAAGGAGAAGGAGTTAAGGAGTTAGAGGTCAGCTTGAACTACACAAGACTCAAAAATAATCAAATACAACAATGAAGAAGGAAGATGGTTTGATGCATGCATATTCACTGTATAACAGTGTCACTTTCAAATCTGACACCACTGTTAATTCACATTTAGGTGTATTACATGGAAGGACATACACAAGTTATATGCAAAGACTGTGCTATTTCACGGAAGAGACCTGAGCACCTATTGGCTTCAGTATCCATGGAGATGAAGCATGTGAAGAGTAGGGAGGTGGTGGAGAAGAGGTGAAGCAGAACTAAGCCCCAGCAGTAATGATGGTCTTTCCAATGTTTAAAAATTTGACATTTATTTATTTATCTATTTATTTATGTATCAGAAGTTGTGGGGTAGTCGGAGGACAACTTTTGGGAGTCAGTCCCCTCCTTCTACCATGAGACCCAGGGATCAAACGCAGGTGGTCAGTTATGGTGGTAGGCACCTTTTACCTGGTGAGATGGCTCACCAGCCCCTTCTCTAAATTCTTGGTATTAGATGATATGTCAGATACTTGATTTAGTGAATCTAGTTCTTTTCCAGTTTGTCTGTAAGCATAAGCAGTTTTCAAGATGCCTGGGGAGACTCTGAGTATAGGAGGGCTATAACTGTGCATTGTGCATTTAAATGTAACAAATCCATTCTACAACAGAACTCAATCAATTCTCCAATGAGATAAAGAAAACAGCCAGATATAACCCTGTTAGAATACCAGCATAAGACGAACTTAAATGACTTTTTCTTGAAGCAGGTGTTAAGGACTGAGAGCTCTATAGAGCTCATTAAGCAACCTAAGTGCTTCAACTCAACATTTGTTCTGTGGGAAACAGTCTTAACCACATCTCTGCTGCAGAGAGCTAAAGTCGTGATTTACTTTTAATGCCAAATATGGAGACAAAGCCTCTATTTCCAGTTAGACTTAGCCAGTATTAGCATAAATGGAGACAACAAAAAGGTAAAAGTGAGCATGCCTGATACACTGCCATCCAGACCACACATGGCCTGCTGCTTCACTACCAACCACATGCAATCTACCCAGAGCCTTATGGTGCTAAGTATGCCTGCTTTTCTGTCACAAATGTTCTTCTGTTTATCCTCGCCTGCTAAGCATGCAGCTAGGTCAAAGAGTGCTTGCCTACTGTGCATGAGGCCACTGAGTTCAATCCCCAACAATACAAGAAAAAAAGTACCAATTATGGTGTTTGGCACTGTTTAACCCAAAACTGTTTTTATCTTATATAAATGAACAATGATAACCCCAAAGAGCTAGCCCCCAAATATAGTTGGCGCAAATAGGCAAGATTTAAATAAGACCATTTTATAATTCAACATAAAAATGCTTGACTCAAGTGATTTTGAGCCCTTAACAGGTTCTTTGACACTGGTCCTGGACATTGGTCAAAAAACAAAGATTCCCGTCCTAGTCTAATTCAGGATCTTTAGGGTGAGCCCAGAAACGTGCTTTTTATCTCTTTGTTTCTGTTTTGAAAAGAAAAAGGGTCTCATTGTACAGCCCTAGCTGGCCTGGAATTCATTCTGTAGACAAGGCTGGCCTAGAATTCAGAGATTCTCCTGCCAAACAACACATGTTCATTTTAAGTGCCTCATGTGAGTTTAATGCACCTACAATGAATACCAGTCTAGCTTAGCATGAACCTTTTACATTCCAGTCACCAGCACCGTTTCGTGACCACTGCCTGTGACCTATTTCTGGCCAGCCAGTCTGCAAATGTGTGATAAGATGGTGGCTGCAAATCTGTCTCCAGTGCTATAAAAATCATTCAGTCACACAGTGATGTATGTCCTGCAGTGGATCACAAGAGTCACCTTCACAGAGGTAAATTCATTACCTTTTATCTCCTCTTCAGGCCCATCTGGTGGGGCTAATCTATCTGTAGACACTCACTAAAAAAATACATCAAACAGGGGCCACCACAAGGACACCTGGAGTGGACATCAAGAGGGTTCCTGGCTCCAGAGCCAACCATGGTCAGCTCACTCAAGGCCTTCGGCTTAAACAAGTCTAGCTGGCCCTCCCACCCAGCTGCTTTACGTTTCTCATGCACTGAAGGTCTGAAGACAATCACTCAGCAAACGCGGCATGGCATCACCTTCTAACATCTCTCCGGCTCCTTTGGGGTAGGTGAAAAGAGCTTTCCTTGGCGGGGCCAGGTCTGACACACTGAAGCCAGATCCAGTGACAGAGCTCCCACTGACCCCGCCAGCTGAAGATGATGATGAGGAGGCGGCCATTCCTTCCAGTAGAATTCTCTCTTCACTAGAGGAGAAAAAAACAGCAACTGGAAGGTTTATAAAAGCCAGGTTGACACTATTTCATTCTAGACCGGTAGGGTCAGTTTTCCTCCTTTATCTGTGTATAGATTAATATATATATATTATATATTTTATATATATTTATATAAAGTCACTTAGGTTTTGAAGTAAAAACATGTCTAAGAATAGCTTGCCAAGCTGGGTGTGGTGGTGCACACTTTTAATCCCAGCACTCAAGGCAGAGACAGAGACAGGTGCATCTCTGTCAGTGTGAGGCCAGCCTGATCTACAAAGCAAGTTCCAAGACAGCCAGGGCTTTTACACAAAGAAACTTTGTCCAAAAAAAAAAAAAGTCTCATTTCCCCTCATTAGGAAGTTGTGGCATGTGGCATTTGGAATTGAGTGTGGTTGATTTATGAGTGAGGAAGGGTGATATGTCACTGCCACGGCAGAAATGGGCCCAAGTATAAAGATCCCTGATCCACAGGACAGTTTGTCTTGGGTGCATCCTCATTAAGCCAACAAGTTCACTTACCGAGTTTTCCAAGTAAGAGTCCAGAAAAACATTGTGTTCTGTTCCCAAGGAAGGGAAATTAGTTAGGAAATACACATTGGCACTTTAAGAAATTGTTAACCTTTTCATCTAAATGTAATGCCTAAATCTAACACTTGATGGCGACCAAAAACTGGAACAAAACATTTTAGGAACTGATCTCAGAAACCATGGCTCTGTATGAATTGAGCATCTGTCAGCTTAATCCTGTGTCATATCTGAAAATCCAAACCCCAGTACTGAATACATGACTTCTCACAAAACTCCAGAACAAGAACATGGCTTCAGAAACATATGAAACTTTATTTGTATCTCTCTCTCTCCACACACACACACACACACACACACACACACACACACACACACGCACGCACGCACGCACGCATGCACGCACGCACCCCAAATATTTTTGTTGTTTTGTTTTTTGAGACAGGGTTTGTGTAGCTTTGGCTGTCCTAGAGCAAGTTCTGTAGACCAGAATGTCCTCGAACTTAGAGATCCACCTGCCTCTGCCTCCTAGGTGTGTGCCACCACTGCCTGGCTAATTTTTTTTTTTAAGATTTAAGATCATAAATAGGCACTGTTATAACAGGCTTTTTATAAAACAGATTTCTTTTTAAAAATCAACTCCCTCACTTGTCATTACAAGGACCTGTACATTTTAACTCCCAGTCTCCTAAGGCACAGTGTTTAATCAGAATGCCAACACCACCACCTGCTGTAGCAGGCACACAAGGCAGGGTATTAGCACTTGGAATAGACACAATCAGTCATTGAAGAAAACGTCTGAGACTGAACATCTTAGCTGTGAGGGTCAGTTCTGCTATGCAGGACTTTTTAGAAAAAAGTAATCACAAACCAGTTGAATTCACCAGTGGTGAGAAGGGGGATTTGGTAAAAATAGTTTCTTTAAATAAGAATTATAAACATGGAATAATAGATAGAGGCAAATGCCTTAGGACCCAGATTAGGGTCCTAGTTTATCACCCATCTCAGCAACCTAGCAAAGGCATCTGCACCATGCACAGCCTTGCTTGACCCACCATCTGTGCTGTGTAGATCTGTGATCTACAGATGGTTGTCTTTTTTTTTTAAATGGAACCAAAAAGCTCTTTTAAAACTAGTGTATAATTTTAAAATAGTTACTACCATGTTTATGCCATCTAGAACTTTGTCACCATGGAAATGTTCAGATATTCTAGTTCTGTCCAATACTAGCCATGAGACTCACATTGTGGTTATTAATATAACTGAATAGCTCTATGTCTACTTTGAAATGCAAATAAAATTTCAATAAAACTATGTGGCTCGTGGTCTCTCATTGGATAGTGGATTTAAGTGGACAAATGACTTTACATGGTGTGCACCAGTATGGAATGTTCTAGATACTCAGGAGGCTGAGGCAGGAGATTGGATAGCCCAGACTATACTGCCAGGAGTCTGTTTCAATAACAACAGGCAATGGCTAATTTTTACACTGCATAGGCTTTAACATTTTTTTTTAAAAGGCTATTTATTTATTTGTAGAGAAGGTCTTAATCTGTTGGCCTAGAATTAACGATGTAGCTTGGCCTGACCTGAATAAAATTCATGGTAATGCCACTTTGTCAACTTCCCAAGCAGTGGGATCACAACCATGTGCCACCATGTCTGGCCTGGAGAGATGGGTCAGTGGTTAGGAGCACTGGCTACTCTTCAGAGGTCTTGATTTCAATTCCCAGCAACTACATGGTGGCTCAAAACCATTTGTAATGAGATCTGGTGCCCTCTTCTGGCCTCTAGGCATACATGCAGGAAGAACATTGTATATATAATATATATATATATATTTTTTAAAAGACCTTTAACATGAATTTTCCAGGGCTGGGGATGTTGTTCAGTTAGTAGAGTGCTTGCCTAGTATGCAGAAAACCCTGGGCTCAATTTCTAGCACCATATAAACAAGGCATGGTGGTATAAAACTAAAATTCTAGCACCTGGGAGGCAGAGGTAGGAGAAGCAGATGCTCATGTTCATCTTTAGTTCTATATAGTAAGTTCAAGGCCAATCTGGGATACATGGGATCCCTCAAAACATCAAACAAAACCTAATCTAATTCAAACCAAACCAAAACCAAAAAACCAAACAAATAATAAAACAAAACAACAAAAAACCAACAAACAGGAAAACAAACAAACAAACAAACCCAACAAAAACAGATCCCCTCTGTTATGGGCAGATAGAATTTTGCTGAATAGTTTTCAGTCAAGTTTCCTGGCCCCTAGTTCTGACATACTTAGTATAAAACATCGAGGGCATATAGCTCAGTGATGGAGCAAAGCTTCCAGCACTTAAGGCTCTAGTTTCAATCGACAATGTTTAAGAAGTTGAGAATGTTATGTCCCTGTAAATCCTTTATGTCCAGAGCATCTGGTTTCCTTCTAAGAAAATTGGTAATTAATGTCTGAGATAGTGGCTGCTGTTTCTTAACTATATATACAGTAGTGACACATGGTTGTCAGAGAAGCAGAGCTTGGTTTCTAGTTCCATATGTCCATTCATAGGTTGCCCTAATGCACACTGACATGGAATAATAAATAGTAAGGCTATTGCTATCATTAGACTATTAGAAATGCAAAGTCATTAATGATTTTTTTTTAACTTTCCTTTTTTTTTTTTTTGAAACAGGCTCTCACCGTGTAACCCTAGCTGTCCTAGAACTTGCTATGTAGTCTACTCTGGCCTCAAACTCAGAGTCCCCATTGTGTCTCAGTGCTGGTATCAAAGGCGTGGTCACCATGCCAAGCTCATTAACAATACTCTTTATTTTGCTCTTAGGTTACTTTCTGAATTGTACTTGTACCCATCAGGGAATTATAACTGCTCCTCTGCATCACACTGGCTCAAAAGATAGCCTGGTGAAGTTTTCCATGTTCCTTAGGTCCAAATCTCTAAGCAGATTCCTGGTGGGATTCAAATGAAGCATATAGTCAGACCACTCAGGAAGAGTCCCCAGAGAGCAGCTCTGGCTTTACTCCCCCCAACCCCATTCAGAGCAGAAGCCCCTGAGAACTGTTTATTTTTCTCAATTGAGATTTTAAACTGTTTTTCCAACTTCCACCCTGATAATGTTCTATTTAGTTGCTAATGCTTTGTATTTTGTATTTTGAGATTAGCTGCTCATTGCCCATACATAGAGCACCCAAGTGGCAGCCAGCTAGCTTCAAAGGCTTGCCACAGTGACTCTGAAACTGAAGATCATCAAAGGAACTTCCTTTCATCCCATTTTCTTCCCAGTTCTCAGAACTACTATAGCTCCACATACAAAACAGTAGGGGTGGAAAAACAGCTCGAAACCAGCACAAGGTTAACTTTAAACAAGCCATTTTCTGCTGAGATGCAGAGACACACCTGTAAATAAATAAATGTCTGGTTCTAAAGACAGGGCCTGTGAAAGCTCCACATGTTCACCCTGAGCTACACCTTTAGTTTCTAGTTTTGAATGCACTAAGGGGTAAATAGGAGTAAAGCTAACAATAAACCCTAGGTTGTAAATGCTGAGCATAGGGGTTAGCTAAGTGATTAGTGTAACTCTTAGTGTAATTCATTTAAGTATGTCCATAGAGCACAGTTCACTGGTACCACACTGACTTCCTAAAGGTCATCTAATTTTTGGAGCAATGGCTTGTTGATGAGGGCAAGCTAGCACAGTGAAAGGACTGACTATGGGGGTTAAAGAGTTGGCTCAGAGGTTACTAAGAGTATTCACAGTTCTTGCAGAGGACTGGAGTTAGGTTTCCAGTACCCATGTTTGGTAGCTCACATCCACCTGTAACTCTAGCTGTGGGCGATCCACTTGCTGCCTTCTTCTGGCCTCCAGGTCTCTCTCTCTCTAACACACACACACACACACACACACACACTTGCTATTTCCAATAGCAAGTTGCTTAGCTAGATTAGCAGCAATGGATACATTCAGGGTTCAGGGAAGCTATGCAAGATATGGAGGAAGACCTCAAGCCTTCACATACATGGACACTCACAAATGTAAAAATCTAGCCTGTCTCGGGGTGTTGGTGGCGAATGCCTTTAATCCCAGCACTCAGGAGGCAGAGGTGGGCATATCTTTGTGAGTTTGAGGCCAGCCTGGTCTACAGAGATAGTTCCAGGAAAGGCTCCAAAGCAATACAGAGAAACCCTATCTCAAAAATAAATAAATAAATAAATAAATCTTGTGATCTTGGGTCTGGAGATATTATAGTTCAGGGGTAGAACATCTGCTTACTATGTTCGAGGCTGTGAAAACAGTCCTGTCAGGTTGGAAAGCAGAACACAAATCACCTTTGTATCCTTGAGGTATAAAAAAGCAAACCAAAACAAAGCAAAAACCCTTATCACAATGTTTCCAGGATGAATGAATGATTTATAAATAATAGAACAAGAGCTGGCAGTTCAGTAGTGACTGCAGGGACAGAGATGATTGGAGTCATGAAGGCAGGTCCATCCTGTTTTGTTTTTTTTTTTTTTTTTCATTGAGTGGAGTGTACAACTTTGCCTCTCAGGAGGCTGCTAGTCCCAGGCCCATGAGAGGCACTCAGTAAAATTTTGCTGAATGCTGACGATTGAGTATCCTGGAGGGCTGCTGACAGCGGAAATGCTCCTAGAAAAAGTAATGATATTTGTGGGACGCAATATGGCTTGGTTAAATACTTACTTTGTGTACGACAAAGATGACCTTGCACTCATAAATTACTTTCTGCTTATTTTCTTAAAAACAATACAGAGAGATCCGTCTTAAAATTAAATCTCAGAATAAACCAGATGTTTAAGTCCATTCGGATCCAGTACAAGGGCTAATTATGACAACCGTTGGGTTCTACCAACAAATCATTCCAGTGTGTTCCACCTAAGCAGATGGGTCCCCATCCAAATCAAACGGATTCAGCAACTCTCTGGGTGGAATGAAGATCCAGGCCGGGTCGGGGAGGAGTCAGCACACTCATCCTGGCTTCGCTAACTCCACCCAAGGTACGTTCCCACCCAGCAATTCGGTAGGAAGCGAAGGCTTGCGGCTGTCCCACTGCGCAGGCGCCAACCCTCTGCGCGCATGCTCAGTTTGAAGAAATCGCCTTTGCACACGCCCGGTGCGGCAGTCTCCAGGGTCTCTTTTCACCCTGTTAGTCCTGGCAGGTAGGATCGTAGGGGGTCAACTCCCCACCGAAGGTTCGGGAAGCCTTGGCTACTTACCTATGTAGTTTGTGCACTTCGCCTGGCAGCCCCGCCCCCTGGACAAGCAATGCGGCTTCGTTCACTACGACGTAGACGCGTGCGCGTGCCCGCCCGGGCTGTGGGAGTTTTATGGCGGCGTGCGCCCGCGCATGCGTGGCGAGGGAGTGGCCGAAGCTGAATGAGAGCGAGCTTCCAGGGAATACTTCCGGGTCGCTCCCATCCCGTCACCTTCCGCGCAGGCTTGGTTATCTCGCTGTTGGAGTGCTTTCTGGTTCCTGCCCTCGGCATAGGGGTTCTTTGTTTACTTTTATGGTTTAGGACTTAAACTTCTCCCACGATAATTACACTTCTCCTAACCTCCATGACACAGGGCGAGTTGGTTTCCGTCCTTGTGCGCGGTCTGCCTGGAACTGCCCAGGAAAGGTAGTTGCGTGTGCATCACAGCCACCTCGCGCACAGGGCCCAAACTTTACCTTATAAATGTTACTGTTGTACAGAGCTTGTCTTTTGAAGTGGGGAGGGGATGCTAAAGGAGTAGCACACCAGTAACATTGTTGGTAATTGCATCCTCTCGTCAACGTTGACTTTCTCTGTTGTCCAAAACATAAACCCTGTCCTTGGTTCTGTGCATGCGGCTGCCGATTAGTGCTTTGGCACAGGGTTGGACCACGCATTTATACAGAAGGCATTGTTATGTTTTCTTTGGCACTTTTAAGTACATGGGTTTAAAGACCCAGCCATCTGTGATGGGAACATGGGTTGGACTTTGCCACCGCTAGTTCATAAGGAGCCTTTGTTTCATAACTATGTGATGCAGTTTGTTGGGCAGTGATCTCCAGAAACTGTTCCTTCTCACTGATGTGTAGGTCTAAGAATTATGTTAAGTCATATTTTAGTACTTTGAGAGGCAAATTAGATCTAATTGTTAGGTGTGTATTTCTAGTACCGTTAAAAGTATTTAGAACTCTTCCTTGGATATTGTATGAATGATTCCTCATTGTATTGTATTATTATATTGGATGGAAAGAACGAAGCACTTTTCCCATGGTTAGGAAAATATCAAGACCGCACTCCCTTTAAGTTAAAGTAATCAGATACCTATATTCTCTCAAAGTCACTGGCAGGCTGTATACTACTAATGCCTCTTATTGGAGGGCTGATAAATAGATTACAAATTGCTGTCTAGAGTGAATCAGGAGGTGTATGTAATAGAATGGTGAAAAATGCATTCTTTGCCTTTTAAGAGTTTACATACAATGGCAGGCCAGTGAAAAGTGACACTATTTTTGTTTAGGTTGTGCTTTGAACACAGTTATATCCATTTGGGCCTACGTAATGGTTCACACAATGGAAGATTTTTTTTTTTTATCTAATTTTTTTCTTACATGTATTTATTTTGTCTGTTTGTATGCTTCCTGGCTGTTTGTGTCATTCAGAGGACAACCGGTAGGAGTCAGTTTTCTCCTACCATGTGGGTCATCAGCCCTGGCAATAAGTGCCATTACCTGTTGAGCCATCTTACTGACCTAAGTTTTTATTTCTAAAAAAAAAAAAAAAAAAAAAAAAAAAAAAAAAGGTAAAAGAATGATTTATTTTTCAGGACTTTACTAGAATATCATTTGGAGAAAGTGTCATGGATGTTCTACGCCCACAGCTTGTAACAATTGATGGACGGAATTATAGAAAGAATCCTATTCAGGAAAAAAATTATCCACATGAAGAAGATGAGGGTTTCTATCAAGGTAATCCTAGTTGCTCTTAGGTCAGATGAGAAGATGTTCTTTGTACCATAGGGGCAGTCCTTTGTTTCTTGCTCTTTAGTTGCCCTGACAAAGCTGTTATTAAAGGAGGCATTATTGGTTGTCCTGGAACTCACTGTGTAGACTGAGAGATCCACCTCTCTCTGACTCCTGAGTGCTGAGATGAAAGGTGTGCACTACTACAGCTCAGTACTTTTTGTTTTTTTTTGACACATTCTCTCTATTATGTAGCTCTGCCTATCCTGCAACTCACTGTGTAAACCATGCTGGCCTTGAACTACTAGAGATTAGCCAGTCTCTGCCTCATGAGTGCTGGGATTAAAGGTATGCACCATCATGCCTGAATATGAGTTATTGAAATAAACATGTAAGGTATTCTATTCAGTGTCAGGTAATATTAACTGTTGCTACTGTGGTATTTTTTCTTCCTTCCTTCCTTTGCATTGACAGCTCCAGAGAAACAACTAAATTTATTTTAACATATGGTAATTTTGTAGATGACAAAATAAATAGTTGAGGTGGGTTATAAATATTTTCAGGGTAATGACCATGTGGTTAGGTTTATCCCATAAACAGGGACTTTCAGATTCTTTGCAGCTTTCCTTTTTGTTTCCTAAGGATTTCCAGTGGATCTTAACTTTGGGGGTCACTTTTCCCTGTGATTCTTATGTTGGCAACCTTGAGCCCTGGACACCTATTTTTTATTTTTTTCTTTGTGTGTGTGTTCAGGCTAGTACTCTTCCTGCCTCAGCCTCCCATATGTTGGAACTCCTCTAGGCGTATGTCACTCTGCCTGGCATCTTGTGTTGAGGTTTTAAGGAACAAATCGCCCTAGTATCATTCTTATTTATTAATAATTCATTGAAGTAATTCTGTGCCCTAATACTAAGAAGTGACTTCTAGACTTTAAAAGGGTGAGTTCATATTGTGTGAACTTTATCTCAATAGACTAATAGTAAAACATGTTTAGGCATCTCAATTTTCTAAGAGAAAATAGCTAAATATTGGTATGTATATATTGCTTTCCCAAGATTGAAGGATATAAAATAACCACCAGGTTCTTTTTATTTTTTATTTCTCCTATGAGCAGATGAGGTCAGTGGCGTGGGAGGAGGTAGGGGATACTACAGCAGTAGGCAAGCTGCACTTTGCACCTGTTCTTGCCTTCTTAAACCTAGAGAGTGATTGACATCTGGGAGGAGACTGTTTTCCATTGAGCAGCAGCATTCAGAGATGTTACGGTTTCTTTGCAGACTCCATGGAATATTGTGATGAGCCCTGTGATGCCTATGACGTGGAGCAGACCCCTCAAGGGTTCCGGGCCACTGTCAGTGCCCCTAGCCTGCTCTACAAGTAAGTGAGTTCCCCTCAGCTTCATGGGATAGTATTTCCTGGAGACCCAGCAGGGAGCCAGCTCTTCAGTCCTCCACACTTACTGTGAAGCTTGATTGCTAATGATAGAAGAGTTTAGTATTTTGTGTCCTGAAATGTCAAAAGACTAATTACAGATTAATGTAATCATCCTGTGTTCATTGCCACATCCTGTTGACTTTCACTTTTAAATGTCCTTTGACTCTACTGATTACCTTTGTCTTTACTGTTATCTCTTTCTTTAAAACAAAACAAAACAAAAAAAAAACCTCATTTAATGACTGTGTGACTATTGATCTGTATGTAGGTACACTACCTCTGTGTCTGGTGTCCTAGGAGGATAGAGGAATTTGTTGAATCCTCTGGAACTGGACTTAACAGGTAGTTGTGAGACACATGATGTGCATACTGGGAACCAAACCTGGGTTCTCTGCAAGAGCAGCAAATACTCTTAATCACTAAGTGTTTCTTCCATCTCTCCGTGGATTTCTTAAAATAGTTTCAACAGTCTCTCCACATTCCTACTCTCTTTGTTCTTCACATAGAAAATGGAATGATTTAAAAACCTTTTTTTTTTGGAGATTTGTTTTCATGTGAGTTGTTTTGCCTGCATATATGTCTGGACACCATGTGTATGCAGTACTTGTGAGGGCCAGAAGAGGTCACTGTATTCCTCGGAACTGGAGTTACTAGCCTCCCTGTGAGTGCTAGAAATTTAAGGGGGGGGGGGGTCCTTTGGAAGAGCAGTCAGTGCTTTTATCCACTGAACCATCTCTCCAGCTCGCCACCTCCCCTTTAAATTTTTTATTTTTTATTTTTTGAGACATGGTCTTGCTTTATAGTTAAGGCTGACTTGGAACTCTTGAGTTCTTGATCCGTCTGCCTCAGCCTTCCATTTACTGAGTGAGATTACAGATGTGCATCACCTCACCAGGCTTGAAATGATTAGCACTTTTGCTTAGAATCCACCTGTGGGGGCTTGTGAGATGTTTCAGCAGGTAAAGGCACTTAGCATGCAGGCCTGGTAACCTGAGTTTCATCCTGGGAACTTTGTAGAGGTGGAAGGTGGGGGCAGACTGAGAGTTTCTCTGACTTCCATGTAGTATGCTGTGGCAGGTGTACCCACATACACACTTATGTATACACACTTTACACACTAATAATACATTTTAAAAACTCTGTCAGTGGTGTTCCACTAGAGATGGAATTGTGGTTCATTAAAGCAATAGCTAAAATTGTGAATATGCCTTAGCTGATTCTACATTTTTTTTTTGTTTGTTTGTTTTCTTTTTGCTTTAGGTCTTTCTCTTCCTTAAGGTTAGAACATCTACCTGGTATTTTCAGTTCCTCACATGTGCTGCGGTTTTTTCCAGCCTTTGAGTTGTGTGTGCTGTGCCCTTTGCCTCAGTCTTTCCCCTTCCTTACCTGGTTATATTCTCCCTCCTAGAGAAGTGTGCTTTGATCCCAGCCATCCCTGCCTATCACTGATTATCCTACTGTGTGTTTTTATAATGCCTCTGCTTGTGGTTTGTAGTGTTTATCATAGTCTGTTGGTAGTCACCTGTGTACTGCTTGCTGTCCCCTCCACAGATGGGAAGCTTCTGGAAGGCAGGGGTTTGTCTGGTCATTAAGTGCCTATCAAGACTGCTGTGCTTTTTCAAGGATCACTGTTGTGAATTGCTTTATGAACTTTGTGATCACTTTAGCATGTGCTTGTGTGCCTTAACCACTAATAGAATGTTTTCAGAAGCTGTAGCGCCCGTGCTACAATCTGTTCCACGAATTGGGCAAAAGCCTAGAGATTGAAGTAAGAGACAAGACAGCGGGTCATTCATTCAGTGACATTATTGGAATGCTGATTGCCGTTTATTGAGGGGATGGAATGGGCTTAAATACTGACTTACAGCACAGTGGAAAATAACAGGATTTTTGGGCTTAGCTCCTCCCCATGAGGTGTGTGT